CTAATAAAAGTGATAGAAAGGTTCAAACATTCCAGCCTGCAGGACAATTATTTAGCAGAACTGCAGGGTCTGGCCGCAGTTCATAAGCAGCTCTCTCCGCTGCTCACTTGCCTCATGGAGTGAGCTATACCAGCTAAGGAGCTTAAGGATGTTCTGAAATATTGAAATACCCCTTGCCCAGAGGTGAAGGATAGTGAGACTGGTACCTTACACTAAAGTGCAATTGCTCTGAAGAAGAGGAAAATTCTCTAACTTCAAACTCTTATAGCCCTACAATCCCATGAATTTTGTTTCTTTGCTATAAAAAGAAAATGAAAGTTTAAGAGAGTATGAGCCTAACAAAAGGAGAAAGGTAGATGGTCAGGTTAAAAATGAGTAACAAAGTGGAAGAAGTAACAACATAAAGATATCGATCCTCCCTAGATTAATATATGATCTAATGCAATCCAAACAAAAATACCAACAGGATTTTTGGGGTAGTGAAAACAAAATAATTCTCAAGTTCATAAGGAAAAAAGAAAATACTGAAAAATAATTTGGAAGAAGTAAGGGTTGCCCTAACAAATACCAAAGCACTTTATAGAACCCAAATAATTAAAATACTGATACATGAATAGACAGTAAGATCAATAAAATAGGATAAAAAGACCAGAAATGGACCCAAATACATGCAGAAATTTGGGGTATAATAAAAATGGCATTTTATTCAGAGAGGAAAATGATGGATTCCTATACACATTGTGGGGCAACTGGGTAGATAGCTGGAAAAAAATAAAGTTGTAACCATACCAAACACCCTAAACCAAAATGAATTCTAGATGGATCGATCACTTAAAAGTATAAAAAAAAAATGAAAAAGAAACTACAAAAAAAGTCTCTTATAATATTGTAGTGGAGAAGGCCTTTTTAAGTATGGCACAAAACCCAAAAACCATAAATTAAAAGACTTAGACTGATTGCATAAAATTTTTAAAATCCTGCAAAGCAAAAATCTCCATAAGCAAAAGACAAACAATAATGTGGGAAAACAACACTTGCAACATAGATGACAGACACAGTGCTTACTCTTTCTAATAGGTAAATAATATAAACTGACAAGTCACAAAAGAAGGAATAGGCATAGCCCTTTAAAATTTGTACTGTGGTCAAACTCACTCAGGTAAGAGAAATGCATATTCAAATTACACCAAAATGGAATACTGAATTTTTCAGACTGGCAATAATCAAAAAGTTAGATAACATTGTGTCATGAGGCTGTGGGCAAAAGATTTCTCTCATACATTACTGTTGGAATATAAATTGGTATAACTCTATGAAGGACGATCTGTCAACCGCTGTCCAAATTACAAATGCATACGGCCTTAAGCCAATTGGACTTCTCAGCATTCATTCTACAATTGATGATGTACATAAAGTATATTCATTGCAGCAAAGCTGGTTATAGTAAAACTTCAGAAACAATCTAAAGGAACAACTTAAATAGGCCTCAACAGGAGTGAAATTATGGTACATCCATACAATGGAATATAATGCAGTTTCAGAGTGAGGCCACTCTATCTGCACTAACATGAAACAAACCAAGATATAAGAAAAAAGCAGGAGGCAGAAGTGCGCAGTGATTTTAAAACATTTGTGGTTTTCTTCAGCATGTCATGTACATATATGCTTATATACACAGAGTAGGGTATATCTCTGTAAGGATATACATGTATCACGTAACAATGGTTGCCTCTGGTGAGGAGAACTAGTCATCTTGGGGAGTTAGGGGTGGGAGGGAAACTTACTTTTCATTACAACCTTATGTACCTTTTGAATTTTGTATCATGTCATTCAAATAATAAATACAGTAATTTTAAAAATAAATAAAATCGCAGATTGTCTTCTCCAGGTTAACACACTGGATACTGCTTCTCATTGCTGGAGTGGCAGGAAATCTCCACAGTGTACCTAATCCCAGGAGAACAAAAGAATATGAATGAAGCACCAGAGCGCTAAAGATCTCACCCCTGCTCAGCAGCTCCTTAACTTTCTTCCTCTCCTTCCTCATTGCTCTGTCTCCACTCACCTGTTGTCTGCGTTCCTCTAGTTCCCTCTGTATATTTTCTACCACAGCCACAGCCTCTTCTCCGTTTTCTGGGTGATGTTCTCTCACCCAGGTCTGGAACTCTTCAGGCAGGATGGTGAGGAACTGCTCCAGCACCAGCAGCTCTAGAATCTGCTCCTTGGTGTGCAGCTCAGGCCTCAGCCACTCACAGCAGAGCACCCGGAGCTGGCTGAGTGCCTCCCGGGGTCCTGATGCCTCATGGTACTGGAAATGCTTAAAGCGCTGGTAAAAAGTCTCAAATACTGGTGGATTGTACTTCTGCATCCAGGTGCAGTCTTCTTCTTCCACCTTTACTATTAGAAGGTCTTCTTGCTCTTGTGAAGTCTCAGCTGGAGGGTCCAAGTCTGTAACTTCCCCAGACTCTGTCATTATCATTCCAACTCCAGGGGGATGGCTCTCCAGGTTAACTGTGTTACACTGATCAAATTTGTTTTCTGCTCTTTAAGATCTTCTGAAGGATGCTTTCATTAGTGTACAACCTACTGATATATTGGAAATCATTATTAGCAAAGAGATGACAAAGAGGTCATCTAAACTAACGAGGACCACTCAACAGAGTAATTTACTTAAAAATATAGACGACAAAGCAGCCATCACGCCACCCATAAAATAACTACTAACAGAGAATATTTCTAACATTTAAAAAATGGAAATGAGAGCCATAAAAATCTGATGACATCAGGCCCAAACAACACGATTTTAGAGGTGAAGAACATTAAATTTCGTATAAATGAAAGGACAAGACTTACTAACTAGTCCAAACGCAGTAGTTCCTTCTCTCTACCATAAGCCAAACTTAAGTCAGAACATGGGTCATAAACATTACAATGGTCAAAACTGGTCCTGTCCTTCAAGTCATAGGAGCCTGACAGACCAAAGGGAGACTTTCATTGGTCCCGAGGGGAAGCAGGGTTATAAGTACAGATCTGGACATGGATTCCTCGGAATGGACCCTGACCCCGTAGACACGTAGACCGGCCCGGTCAAGGTTAGGGGCAGGACTACACTCTGGACACAAAGCCCATTTCCTTTCCTCAAGGCCCCAGTCCCGGGAAACTCTCCTGGAAGACCAAGCTCCCGCAATCAACGTTGGAAAGACGGGTTTCTTCTTACAAATAGAGATAAAACCGAAGCGGACAGTTCACAACACTTCCTCGCCGGAAGTAAGCAAGTCCAAGCTTTCCCAGTCCAACTGGGTTGACCCAAAATTCCACCCCTGAGAGCACTTCCGAGTCCTCTCTAGGAATCCCGGAGGTCCTCGCCTCGTATAGGGCGGGAGGTGCCCGCCCCAAGCCCCGCCCCGGAGAGGCTGTGGGCCAATCGGCGGGGAGATGGGGTGCCGGTCCGGGATCCCCTGTCCTACCTCCCGAAACCGCGCCGTTCCCCGCCCACTGAACCGCGAGGACAGCGTCACTAGAGCCGTGGAGAAAACGGAGGTAGCCCCCCTTCCCCACCCAAACCCAAGGCCATTTAAACAATTTGGGCTCCTCCCCTTTCCTTACAGTGCTGACAGGGTGCAGGGCCTTAAGTGTCCAGAGCGGTTGCTAAGGCAACAGTTGCTAGTATTTGATTGGCCGTGAAACTTGTGCTCCCCCACCCTCAACGCTCTGCGCCCCAGTTCAAAGTAGGTCCGTAGCTTTCTGCGAGCCCGTAACACTTTCTCTTTAATTTTGGACCTTTCGGTTTGTTCACCTGAATCTCACCACCCCTTGCACCCTTTCTCCAGACACACCCACCTCTTTACCACCGCAATCAGCTCTCGGGGCCGAAATCTCCGTCGTCAGGCTCGCGAGTCGCGGGAGCCAGCGGCACCCGGGACTACATATCCCAGAAAGTCCCGCGCGGACCATGCCTGCTAACCAATGCAACCGTGGCTCTCCTTGCAGCCTCAGTCTCGCGGGCCTATCAGAATGCGGGAGGGCAGGGAGGCGTTTCCTTGGGCGCCTCCTGCTGGAAGGCAGTGTGTGGCGAAGTCCATTGCCCTGCTGACTGGGGAAAGTGGGGGTGGAGCCCCGCATAACTGGGAAGAGAGAGGAGCCAGCCAGGGGGATCTCATCCTTAATAATTTATCATTTTTGTATCTGTTTACAAAGCTGTTCGACAGGACAAGACTCACTATCACCACTCTTTCACTCGTCGCTAAAATGAGGCTCACGGACTTCACTCTGTGAGTCAGAAGGCACACATCTTTGGATACTCCTAGAGAATTATTTTTTAGTGTATGGGATGAATTTTCACCTAGCCCGGGCTGGGTTTTGAGACTACCCTGCTAGCGCTGTGGTCTGCCTTATGGGAATGAAGAAATTCAGAAAACCCGCTACTGTATCTCCAGAGAGACCTTTAGCTGAAGAGGCTTAAGTTGACACTGTAGTATGTTTGGTGCATTGTTGTATTTGTATGGTTTCACTCTTTACATTTAGAACTTTGTATAGTTTCACTTTAAAACATTGGGTCCTTTGATCCAGTCAGAATTTGCTTGGTGTATAGTATGAAGTTTAGATCCAACTTTATCTTTTTCCAAATCACTACCCCGTTGTCCCAATATTTATGAAAAAGTCTAACTTTACACACACTCCCCCCCCATTGGTTTTTTTGTTTTTAAGCTTTTATTGGGGAATTGGGGGAGGGGAACTGCATTGGGGAATCACGGAAGGGGAACAGACGAGTTGCTGTCCTTTTGTTCTTCAGTCTAGTTGTGGAGGACATCGCTTCACTGCGCTCTTCCCAGCTGAGGCAGTTGCTCCCCGGCCATTGCACGGCTGCTCACTGCGGCTCAGGACAGCTCCTGAAAGTTCCCGAAAGCTCCCACCCACTGCTGACTAGCCCCACTGCATCCTACGCTGTCACTGGTGACTCACGGCAGCCCAGCTCCAGGTCGAGCTGTGTTCAC